ATTCAACTGTAAACCTAAAAATTTACAGCCAATTTTGAAAGAGATGCATCTTAGCTCTGGAAATTGTTATTAAACATGTCAAGCTATTGTAATGAAATCCTTCTTCTAGTTATATGGGTTTTTTTTGGTCTTTTAGAAGCAGGGTCTCCCTGTAAGCCCCAGCTGTCCTGGAACTCACTATGTAGACCAGGCTGGCCTTGAACTCACAGAGATCCGCCTGCCTCTGCCTCCCAAGTGCTGGGACTACAGGTGTGCACCACCACACCCGGCTAATTATATGGTTTTTAAATAAATAATTAAAATAAAATAAAAATACTGAAATAAAAAAATAAAATATTTGGGGGGGGAAAAAAAGGAAGGATTAAAAAACCTACTATAAGACTTCTATAGAGCTGGAGAGATGGCTCAACAGTTCAGAGCACTGGTTGCTCTTACAGAGGACCTGGGTTTGATTCCTACCACCCATATGGTGGCAATACATGCATGCACATAAAATAAAAATAATAAAATATTAAAAACACTTCCACAGATGAAGCAGAAATTTACTTACATTTGGTCCTGAAGGCAATCTGCTTACAGAGCGTTCTCCAAAGGTCCTGACTCCTGTGGGCTTATTTTTAGGCTGTGGTAAACTAATGAGAGAATTTAAAATCATACATTGTAAAACATATTGATGAAATAAACTTAAAAGTGTGTTAGAGCAGTAAAATGTGATGGGTATCACCTAACATTTATGTCTTATTTCTAGTGTCTGGTCTAGCTATGGATATCTTCTCTGTGAGGTGGTCATGCTGTCTCCTTTCTATATCACTACTAATTTCTCCCATACAAAGATACCTGTAAGTAATACCTCTTTCCATGGTTTTCATTGTAAACGTGAAGCTTCCTGAAGGGATCCCATTCTATGCCATGATGTCTTTCTAATGGACTGTTTTTCTACCTTAAAACATTCTCTGTGCAGCACTATTCAACATAAGCCACTTCCTTTTCTATTTTATTGGCCCTGTACTTTATGGATACGTGTACTGGTGGATTCATCTAATACAATTCCAAATCCAGAGATCCACAGTTCTCGGACAACTTGTAACTACACTGTATTCCTTTTTCAATTATGCTTTTGTTATGGGAAGCCTGCTATCTTGGAACTCCTACATAGTACAACTTGCTCCTGGTCATGTGGCCAAAAAGTGGCAGAACTGGAAATGCAACCCAGACCATCTGGTGAGCAGTTCACATTCTCTCTTTACTGCGTTACAACTGAGTACTGAGGACATCTCTGTAGGATCCCAAGACCCTCTGACAATTACACCACCCACATGTTGTTATTTCAACTAGATATTTCTTTACCCATAATTTTCTTTGTTTCCGTCTTCAAAAATAGGAAAAGCAGACGACAAGGAGATAATCTTATTAACTCCCCAAGCTCCAGAAGTCCCTGTATTTTCTGCAAGACAATAAAAAACAGCATTTCATTATTGTCCTAGGAAAAAATTATTACCCTTTAGGCTAAACTTCAGCTATAAACAAGGAAAAGAGGTCAGTTTATCTTACTCAGACAGCTGACTTAATAAAAGTTTTAAGTGCTTGTTTTTCATTTCCTTTAAGAAAAAAAATCTCTGAATTTTACATTTCTAGTCTTTAAAATTCCAACTAAACTTATCTTTACCGTGACCTCTGGCTTCTACCACTGCTGGGCTCCAACATTCCAACTAAATATTTCTCTCTCAGAAGCAGCTTAAGTCTTGTATTGGGAATAGCCTTTCCTGACCATTCCTATGCATGGTGATTTGTCCTTCTTTAGCACTTACTATTACATAATAACAATGATAATAATAATAATAAAAAACCCTCAACCAACCAATCAAAAAAAAAAAAACAACCCAAAAAACTTCAATCTATCACATAATTGCAATCGTATCAAATTGTCACACTGGTATTTATGTACTGGTATTTGTGTACTTCATGACACACTATGCAAAGGCAGGGTCAATTCTTGACAATGCCCATGTCAACCCTGTGATACTGTGTATCTAATAGTGTTTAAATAAACTATTACTTTGAAACTGGGCTTCAAATGCATCTTCATTCTGATCTAGAGATGGCCAGTCTTTTTTGTCATCAGAAATGTCAGGAAGTGTAGGAGCCTGAAACATATTCATGATGAAACCTTAAAGAACAGAAAGAATACCTGTCAACAGGTTGCAAATCAGTTTTTATTAATTTGTTAAAGGAAAGACGCATGGAAAAAAAATGCTTTACCTAATGCTTCCTTTGTATGCACAGTTGGTGACGGCTGTACTCTGGATGGTGTTGCTTGAACCATTCCCAATGATGTGTTTGGAGTTGTATGAAAAGAATTAATGCTGGCAACCTTATGTGTTTCACACACTGGCAAAGAAGTGGGACAGAATGTACTATGAGCGTGCCAACCAGAACACATTAGAAGAAACATGACTGCAGTAATTTAGTATAATTAAACAGTTTACTATTGTCAATAATGATCACTCCTTCCATTATCATCATGCTTTCATGTACTTCAAAGACAAGTACTTTGCAATAGTACCATGGAAGCAGGTGAGGCAAGAATTCTTCTTCTTCTTCACTGTCTTATATTTTGAAACAGGGTCTCACTATTTAGCCCCAGCTGGCCTGGAATTCACTATATAGATCATGCTAGACTGACTACAATCTCAGAGAGCTCTACCTCCCAAGTTCTGGGATTAAAGGCATGCACCAGCATACCCAGCTAAGAATTATTCTTTTATAGAAAAAGAAATGAGGGTTCATATCAAGTTAGCAGTTTTGTCAGAAATAGCATCCTTAGCTTACTATATACCAAGTACCAGTTGTTTACTGTCCCTATACAACCCGAACCCTGTTTGCTTAGGCCTTCTCCTCTTCTTCCCCGTGTGCTTAGAACATATTATGAATACTGCTGCCTGAGTGCTGTTCATTCTGCCTGAAACAGGTTCACCAAATTAGCTGCATGGGTAGCTCCCCTTTCCAGTCCTTTACCTAAATCTCACTCTATCCATCTTTCCTAGTTACCATCTTTGGAACCTTACACCCTACTCTACTATCAACACTTCTTGTCCTGTGGGAATTTTCACTTTTTGTTTATGACTACATCTCTACCATCTTAGACCCATGCATGGCATTGAGCAAGCATGAACCAAGTTTTGGTGCAAAAAAAAGTCTCTATTTCAAAGAGCCCTGGTTCCTACTGAACTACAAGTGGAAAGGATGCCATAGTTACAAAAGGAAGAAGTGAATGACCACATTGTGCCTTACTTAATGTATAAAACTACCTACTTCGCAAATACTTCCACTGTGGTACTGAAAAGAATTTAATACTAATTAACATATTATGACTCTCAGATTAATACTCTGAGACAGTTAATAGAAAAATACATACAAATTAAGGACTCTGAACTAGTTAAATGTGAATAGTAAGTGAATTTATATCTTTGTCTAAAGTAGTCTGAGGCTAAAATCACTCTTGCCCTCTGAGAAGGAAAGCTAACAGGCTGAGTAAGATTTGAAGTCTTCCTACTTCACAGTCACTGAGCAATCCAGGAGTCTACTCAAATAAGTTGAAAGAAGCTATCAAATGAAATATTACCTTCTTTTGTTTCTGGTCCACTCTGGGGCTTGAATTCATGAATACTTTGACTAACACATCTGGAACAGAAAATTCTTGAGATATACTGAATAAAAGCACTTTACATATTAGAATTTCTACCTAACTCTCGAGACATAGTAATAAAAGAAATTAGTCAACAATTATTCTATTAGGGCAGGGATAAAACTGCTTAGGTCCATGGTATAAATGAAGTTTGTTTTTTTTCTCAGTTCCTCTTGAGAATAATAATTCTTTCAAATAAAGAACCACTGAATGGGGGCTGGAGAGGTAGCTCAGTGGTTAAGAGCACTGGCTGTTCTTGCAGAAGACTGGGGTTCAAATCCCAGCATCCATATGGCAACTAACAACCATCTGGAACTCCAGTTCCAGGGGATCCGACGCCTTCTTCTGTACTCTATGGGCACTGCATGACATGGGTGCCTTTACAAATGCAGGCATAACGCTCATACACGCAAAATAAAAAAACCTAACCACTGAACGTTCGTGTGACCCACTGGATCTATATTTTAGCACAACAGTAAGCATTCCTCTATGAGGATAATGGCTTCTCAAATTCAAAAGCACTCCTCATCTAGGTACAGGCTAAGGGCCTAAAACCTAGTTCTAGCACCAGACACAATGAAAGCACTATTGTGTTTTAGTGGAAGATACTTTCTTATGTGCCTGAAACCACTAGTAATGTCCAGATTTAAAAGTAACAGTAAGAAAGAAGGGAGGGAAGGTAGAAATACAAACCATTTATATATATCACAGTTATTTAAAAAAAAAATACTAGGGCAGTAGACCTCATCTGTCTAATACTGCTAGAATTCTCCATAAGGAACCTTATTAAGATAATTAAGTAAAGAAAGTACAAATCACTTTCAATTTTACAAATTCCTATCAAATTCTAAGTTAAGAGTGATGAATAACCAAGAGACCAAAAAAAAAAAAAAAAAAAAAAAATTGTAAAGCAAATAAAAAATGTTACTATTTCTGAGCCTAAAAAATTCCTTCAAAATTGGGGAATAGTGAGTTGACAGATCTTGGCACAAAGAATAATTGACATTGATCCCAAACTGCTCCTGTGGGAGGACAGAGGGAACATGAGAACCACATGTCAAGTAATCGCAGGTCTGTAGTCAAAGCCAGCGAGCAAAGGTAATTTTACAGCTATATAGTCTTAAGGTACAAAGCTTATAATTCAAGAAAAAAGTATATAGTAAAACAAATATTATAGGAGAAGCATAGAATATATAAATACAAAAGATTTGGGGTTAATATTTTTGAGATCTATTTTTATAAAATAAGAACCATTTATGTTTTACATAATACTCTTGATATTGTAGATCATGGAAAGAATCTATAATTGCCATTCACACCACTATTACCTTCAGGACAACTTTTAGCTTACCTGGAGTCTGTCATTGGCTGGGCACTTAAAGGAACAGAAAGAACTGGTTGGCTGGTGGCCGGGGTCACCAAAGCATCGGTAATAGTATTTATTACAAGAGGAACAGAAGATGGCTCTTGTGGTTTCTCTCTTGAGTTCATTGAGGTCTGCTGATTGATGGATGGAAGACTTGGAACACTCACTTCCTGCTGGGAGCTAATCTTTGGTACCATACATACTGCATTAACCTTTCATGCCAAGCAAAAAGATACAAACAAAAACACTATTACTATCCAGACATTATGGCTTTATAAATCTTGGCATCCCTTACCCCTTCAGTCTTTTAAAACAAATAGTCAGTGACAAAAAAGACTAGTCTATCTGATGTTTTTTTTGTAGCTTCTTACCCATGGACAGAACCAGAAGCTTAAACTTTTATTCATTTTTTTTATATTAGTGTGTGTCTGTTAGAACAGATACACAGCAACATGTGGAAATCCAAGGACAGTTGCTGGGGATTAGTTCTCTCCTTGTACCTTGCTGAGGCAAGGTCTCTCATTTCTGTGCACCATGTATTCCAGGCTAGCCAGCCCAAGAGCTTACAGGCAATTCTCTTGTCTCTGCTCCCATCTCACTGTAGGAGTGCTGGGATTTTAGAAATGTGCTAGTACATCCTACTTTTTTACCTGGGTTCTTGGGATCAAACTCAGGTCATTAGGCTTGCAACAAGTGCCTGATAAACTATCTCACTGGCTCAGTTCACTTTAACTTAAAATCTTTGCTTTCCTATTCACATATAGATTATAATCAATAATGTTACAAAGTAAAAGGCAGAAGGGTTAACCACTGAAAAAACAATTGGCCTCTATAATTATATCAGTATTTAAGAAGTAGTTCAGCTGGACACAAGTGGCTCATGTCTATAATCCCAACATTTGGGAGGCTGAGGCACAGGAGGATTACAGTGAATCTGAGGCTAGTCTGGGCTGCCTAGCAAGTTCCACACTAGCCGAGACTCTAGTGTGAGACCCTGTTTAAAAAAACACAAAAACGGAAGAGAGGGTGACAGAATACATGGGGCATAAAAGTTGAAAGGAGACTACCAGGAGTACAAGAGTACAGGTGGGGTCAGGCAGAGCTGTGGGGAAGGAGGATCAGCAAAAACGAAGTGTGTATAAAATGCCATAACGACACCCATTACTTCATATGCTACTTAGTTTTTTAATTTTTTATTTTATGTGTACGAGTATATTGCCTGCATGCATGTGAGTGCACCCGTGTCATGCAGTGCAGCGGAGGTCAGAAGAGGGCTTTGGATTCCCCTGGAACTGGAGTTAAGGACTGTTCATAGCCGCCATGTGAGTGCTGGGAATTGAACCTGGGTCCTCTGCAAGAGCACTCAGTGCTCTTAACCGCTGAGCCATCTCTCCAGCCCCATGCTACTTATTTTTAAAAATAAGCAAACCACAAACAGAACTATCTTCTCTTGACTTAATTTTGAGAAAAGACCAAAATTAATATTATCAATACTGTCAAATATTCAAAATGTTCTGTTCAAGTATCCATAGTAGTTATTTGCTGTTTAATGAATTGGATACATTTAGATTAATTTCATACAAGAAAGAATAACAAACATTTTAACTTAAAATCTTTGCTTTTCTATTCACATATAAGCAGATTGTAATTGAATATTTTAATGTTACAAAATTAAGAGACAGAGAGTTAATTACTTATCCCATAAAAATATTCTTACAAGTTGTTAAAAGTGGCAATTTACATAAAATGCATTAAAAGATAAAAAGTTAATCTTTAATAGTCATCAAAAAAAGTAACTTAAAATGACCTAGAAAATTAGTAAAGAATAAAAGCAATCACAAGACAGGTTAGCCATCCCTTATCTGAAATGTTTGAAACTAGGAATACTACAGATTTCAGAATTTTCCAGATTTTGGATTATTTGCTAGACTTATTTGCTTGAGCTGAGCATCCCTACCCATTCTCTTAAGTCCTTTACTCATCCTAAATTTTGTACATCTTTCTGTATCAAATTATTTTAAAATTCTGGAAGATTCTTAAGTAAATTAGAATTAACCCCAAAACAGAGCACAGAGAACAACTACTACTACTGGGGGCAGGTTGTGACAGTAAAGAAATAAGCATACATCAGGCCTGTTCTGGGAAGTGGGCAGGTCCTCATGAGATAACTCCACCACTTGATGCAATTTCTTATGAAGTTCATCCATTTTCTGTTTTAACAGTTGTTCTTCAAAAGCACTTGCTTCTTTCCTTTTCATATAATGTCTATCTTCATTTACTTTATGAAAAATTAAAAGAATATGGTTTACTTACAAAGCTTAAATTCAAGTCATCAGAGTATTACATGCAAAATGAGTAAATGGACCTAATTTACAATGGCCATTTTAAAATTAGTTTTCCATATTTATTAGATTTTAGAACTAAAACTGTCCTGGAACTCACTATGTAGGCCAGGCTGGCCTTGATCTTGCCTGCCTCTGCCTCCCGAGTGCTGGGATTAAAGGTGTGCACCACCATGCCCGGCCAAAACACTTCTTATAAAAACAATCATGAGTACAAATCCTATGAAAATCATTTTTCATTTCACTTTTTTTTTAAATTTCAGCTTCTTATGTATGTATGTGCTTGTGTTCATGTGCACGTGTGTGATGATGACCTAAGGAATTATTTCTTGGGAGCCATCCATTGTTTTTTGACACAGGGTATCATGCTGACTAGAGTTTACCAAGTAGGCTAGGCTGGCCAGCCCCAAGGATCCGTCTGCCTCTGCTTCTCCAGCGCTGAAATTACAAGAGTGTGTTGCCACACTCATTCTGGGAATCAAATCTACATCCTCATTCTTGCATAGCAAATACTTCACTGACTGAGCTATCTCTCCATACTCCATTTCAGATTTTAAAGGATGTAATGTTCTATACATGATTCTTTCTTTAGATTAAAAGTTTTTAAAATTACATTTAAGGAGAGAGGGTCACATGAATGCCACAGCATGCATGTGGAGGTCAGAGGACAATTTCCAGGGTTCTCTCCATGTAGTCCCAGGGATAGAATTCAGGTCATCAGGTTTGGTAGCAAGTCCCTTTATCTGATAAGCCATCTCACTGGCCCCCTAGGTACTTTTAAAATTTTTAAAGTATTATTTTTAATTGTATGTGTGTATATGCACATGAGTCCTGGTGCCCACAGAGGCCAGAGGTATCAAATCCCCCTGGAGCAGGAATTATAGACACTTGTGAACAGCCTAATCTGAGTGTTAGGAGCCAAACTTGATTCTCTACAAGAACAAAGGAGCCCTTAACAGCTGAGTCATCTTTCCAGCCCTGCTTCAAGGTACTCTTTAAGTAAAATAGGGGCTGGAGCGATGGCTCAGCAGACAAGAACACTGACTGTTCTTGCAGAAGACCCTGGTTCAAATCCCAGCACCCACATGGAAGCAAACAACTGTCCATAACTCCAGTTCCAGGGGATTGGACAGTCTCTTCTGTCCTCTGCAGGCATTGCACGACACAGATGCACTTACCTAGAAATGCAAACAATACATGCATACACATAAAATAAAAATTTTAAGTGTTTTTAAAAAAATTAAATAAAGTTTGCTAAATGTCAGAATTTCAAACAAAACTGTGGATAGTTCTAGTTCCAGTAACTAGATCACATGGCTACAGCCTAGATAAAGTAATCTGGCTGGATACTATACATCATGGCACATGAAAGGAAATTATTCAAACGCAATTCAAAATGAGCCCTCCATGAACATTAATTGCTTTCTCTATTGTTGATCAAATATGAAAAGTAAAGAACAAGGAGGCTGAAGAGATGGTGCAGTGATTAAGAGGGTATACTGCTCTTGGAGAGGACTGGAGTTCGGTCCCCAGCATCCACACAGGGAGGTTTACAATTGCCTATAACTCCTGCTCTAGGGAACCAATGACCTCTCTGGCCGTTATTAGTCACAGCATTCATGTGCATAAATCCACACTCAGAAATACACATTAAAAAAAAATAAAACCTTTATATTAAAAAATAATGAACAAAAGGCTCATAAAGATTTAATCTAAATAACTTAGAAGGTAAAAAATACCCTGAGTAGGGCTGGAGAGATGGCTCTGCGGGTAAGAGTACTAACTGCTCTTGCAGAGGATGTGGGTTTGAGTCCCAGCACCCACATGGTGGCTACGAACTGTCCTTAACTCCAGTTCCAGGGGAATCCGAAGCGCTCTTCTGACCTCCCTCTCCCTGGCATTGCACGACACGGGTGCACTCACATACATGTAGGCAATATACTCATACACATAAAATAAAAATAATAAATAAAATTAAAAAAAAAAAAAACCCGAGTAGAATAAAGGTTCATTAGAGGAACTCTGTAAGGTCTATGCTGTTATATAGTACAAGCCAAGTGCAAATGCTGGAGGTAAGGCATATGCATTTCCATGTGAGGAATAAAACTTACTCTATAAATATGACATGGCATCCTTTTGTTTACTTTGTTTGAAGTAGATGCAAAACTTGGACAATTTCTTCTGAACCTCAGTTCTCAATTGAATCCTTTCAGAGAACAAATATATGCCCTAAAAATTTAGAATTAATTGTATACAGAGGTTCAAATCCATATAGGTAATGCTGAAAAAACTTTACATATCCAGTTCACTAAAGCAAAGGCAACAATGGTAAGGATATTTACTGTATTGCTGTTTCAATCTCAAGCTGTGCTGTCAATACAGTAATGGAGTCCTTGGACAAGCACTGCTGCAGGCTAGTGTTTAACCAAGATTTCTTGATGAGTGGAGACACTTTCTGGTCTTTTATTCAATTATTTGATTACTCATTATTTTAAAATGATATAAAAATAACTCAAAATTTAAAACTGCAAGTACCCCACTGTTCATGCTTCCTCCGCTGATTGTATTTCTGAGCTCTCAGTTCCTCGAAGGAAAATTCTGATTCTCCACGAATAAGCTTTTCCTTGCAATACATAACAACGTGCTGAGTTTCAGCCTTGGATGTCACAGATGAGGGTACAGAGCATTCTGATTTAGAAATCATGATCACCCTTTGTTCCCTACAGAGGAGAAAGACATCATTTAGTGTACTGAAGTGACTTGAAGGAAACTTAAATAATATGTCAATGGACTGGTTGTACTTGCATATTTGACTCTTTATCACAAGTTGAAGGTGTCACACCAGAACATTCTGAACCCTAAAAGACAGAAACAAACACGGGCATTCACTTGCCAAAGAGAAACTTCCCACAAATTATTTTACAAATCAATATGAAAGCCCCCAGGAAGGGGCCTCTTAATCTCAAGTAGATTTATATAAGCTTTTACAAATTATCTTACTAGCTGAAGCTTAAGTTTCCATCATTATTGTTACCATAACTTTTCAAACTGAGGTACCCAATAAGAACATGAGTAAGGAAAAATTAAAAATTCCCTTCTGGTATTGCTTTACTCTCAAGAGTTCTGAATAGCAGCAATCAATCACTAAGCACACACTTAATTGAACATTTCACATACATCATACATGAGCTAGATCTGGGGAATATGATCATAAGTAACACCCATTTCATTTGTCTTTAAACTTAAGGCAGTAGAAAGAATGAGGGTGGCAAATACTGAAGAGATACTGGGACAGTGCACAATCTGTCACAGCTAGAAATGTGTATTCTACTTCTAGGAATGTGTTACTTTAATAAAACAGAAGTTTCAATGTTGGATTAAGCTTCAAGGAGGTCCTATATAGTGACTGCACAATGGAAGGAAAAGATGCTAGGAACCACAAGCTCGAGAGCGGAGAGAATCAAGAATTTTTTTGTTCATAGGCAGTCAGGGCAGAAGAGACACTGACAGGGCAAAAATATCTCTAGGAATAAAAAACAGGCACAAGTAGGCAGCTACCTTTTTCCACTGAAATAGCAGAGAAAGATGGAGTTATATGGATTGGCTGGTAGCAGAAATAGTATTTTTACAACTGTGAGAGTGAGGTAGACACATCTAAGTTTGAGGTGAATGAAGTTTAAAACCACTACAATTTGGTGCAAAACAATTAAGTGGGAATCTAAGAGACATAAATTATCAAGGACCAAAAAAAAAAAAAAATCAAGAACATAGGAAAGACATGCCTGCAAATATTAGACGCCTGGTTGAGATTATGTGCATGAATGTTTAAGGTTCTGAGTTTTCTTTTAAAGAAGGAATCATGAACCTTCAAATGAGTGTGATCCAAAATAGGGATGTCTTGGGCCTATGAAAGAGGCCAGCACAACAAAGTAACAGAGACTATTAGTAAGAAAGAAGCTGCAGGAAAGTAAGTGAAGACAGGAGAGTGTGTGGTGGCAGTCCCAAGGTCTCTTAAGTCATGTCTGAGTTGAGCAGAAATGGATGACAACAGGCTCAGAAGGTTGCCATGGTGGCTGAAATGGAGGCTGGTCAGAGGAGACAAGGTCAAAGAAATAAGATCCCAAGGTGGAAATAAAAAGCAGTCATAAAGGCTGTTTAATACCATTCCTAATTTCTATATAACATGCAAATAAATATCATTACCTGAGTCTTAGAAACACAGGCTAAGTTTTTTCCTGGGCTTGATATTGATGTTGTAACTTGGTTTAAAATCTGAGCACCATGCAGAGGATCTGAGGCTGTAGCTATGAGAAACAAAGAGGATAAAATGAGAAATAAGGGAAAAGTAAGATTAAGATTACATAAAATTAGGACATAACACATCCTGCTATTCTTTCAGTAAGCTGCATTTCTCCCCATTACTTGTCTCTGCCTCCTCAGTGCTGGGATTAAAGGCATGGACCACCCTACCCTGCTAAGCAGCATTTTATATACATTCATTTAAATAGTTTCAGAAAATGGAATAATTTCAGATAAAAAAACACAGAAATAGCCTGTTTCAGCCTCCCCCTGCAAAGGCCTGAGACTGCCTAAGAGCACCACAATCCTGCCTCCATGTGGTGGTGAGCTTCCCTAATTGCCCCATACCCAACCCCCAACTGAGATTGCACAAGGCCCCTCCCAAGGACCCGGAACAGACCTGGCTTTGGTAGGATAAGGCTGAGATCTTAGCAGACAGCCTGAGAGGATGAGTTTGGATCTCTAGCAGTGTAGCAGCTGTGATCTCAGCAGACTACCATAGAGAGCCTATTCTGACCTTCCTCTGGCATAGGGGCTGAGAACTCAACAGACCTCTAGAGAGTCCCAAAATCCCCGCCCCACCCCCACCCCTGCTTGGGGAACTTCCCAAATTTTGCTCCAAGTTCCTGCTAGTAGTGGTGCAAACCTTAGAAGGAAGCGTGAGTATACCTGACTGGAACCTGACCTGGGCTTCTGGAGGTGCTCCTGAGTAGCTGATCTGAAACCATGAGTTCCCTCCAAAATAAAACCTGAGCAAACCTGAAACCTGAACTAATCAGCTTTACATAACCAATAAGAAAAGGACAAAGGCACACCAATACTACAAACAGAAGCATACTTCAACTTAATTCTCATATCAGAATCACAAACAACAAAAGAAATTCACATGCCAAAATTACAACGAAAGAATAATAAAACGGAAAGCCAAAACACTACATCCACACCAAACTCCACCAGTCCTATAGAAGAGTTCTACAAGGAGAACCCCTAGTGATAACCCAGGACACAGAATTTAAAAGAACAATCATAAAAATGATCAAGGAATTCAACGAATTTAAAGAAGACACGAACAAATCAAAGAACTAAAAGAAGCTAAGGATAAACTTCTGAATGATTTCACAAAAGAGAAACACTGAAGAAAACTCAGAGACAGAAATGAAGAAGGAAGTGAAAAAACTCAATAAATCAATTTGAAACAACATGGGAAAGCCTCACAACTAGAATAAATGAAATGGAAAAGGCAATATCAACATTAGAGGATAAAGTTGAAGAATTGGACAACTCAAACAAAGATTATGAAAAATTTCAAAAAAAACAGGAATGGAATATGCAAGAGATGTGGAACACCAGGAAAAGACCAAATCTGTGTATCATATGCATAGAGGAAGGAGAAGAATTTCAGGTTAATTATACTGACCAGATCTTAAACAGGATCTTAGAAGAGAATTTCCCGAAATTAAGGAAAGATATCCCCATACAAATAGAGGAAACACCTATGTGGGGACCTAAAGGCCCCACCTAGCAGAGGTCCGAGAGGAAGTTACTGGGGAGCCGCCTGACTTGTTTTAAAAGTCTGAAGGCTACTTCCGCACTGCTGAGAAATGCATGATCAGCACATGACCATCCTTAAGATACACCCTTAAGGGGGAGGGGGATTTCCAGATGCCTTTATAAGCTCTGAAACACCTGCAATAAATGAGTCCCTGCTTGACTAGGCTCCCCGTTGCACCTGAGTGTTCCCAGTACTGGGGGTGGCATGGGCTGGCGAACTGCGCGCGCTTACTCATCCCCAATCATCACTGCGCGGGGGTCGCTGGTTTGAACTCCCCGCACACCTAGAACACCAAATAGACAGGATCAGAAAAGAAACTCCCCATGACACATCATAGTAACGACACTAAATTTATAGAACAAAGACAGAATACTGAAAGCAGCAAAAGAAAAACAAGTCACATATAAAGGAAAGCCAATCAGAATTACAGCTGACTTATCAACGCAAACTACGAAAGCCAGAAGAGCCTGGACCAAGGTATTTCCAGTTCTATGTGACAATAGATGCCAGCCCAGAATACTTCACCCAGCAAAAATGTCTATTATAGTTGAGGGGGAAAGAAAAATCTTCCACGACACAAATAACCTGAAAGAAAACATGTCCACAAAACCAGCCCTTCAAAGAATACTTGGAAGCAATACAGAGAGCAGAAAGAGAAACAACTAAACCCCAGGGGCAATGAAGAAAATAAAGGTATAATTGAAGAAACACAAAATGAGACAAAGAACACGAACAGCAACCAAAATGCCGGCAACCAATACACATCTTTCAGTAATAACCTTAAATACCAATGGACTGAACTCCCCAGTCAAAAGACACAGGCTAAGTAAATGGATTAAGAAACAGAATCCATCTTTTTGCTGTCTGCGAGAAACCTATTTCACTTTGAAGGACAGGCACTGTTTAAGGTGAAAGGATGGAAAAGAATATTCCAAGCAAATAGCACTAGGTTGCAGTTCTAATATCTGACAAAACGGATTTCAAAGTAAAACTAATGAGAAGAGATAAGGAGAGTCACTTCATTCTGATCAAAGGAACAGTTAACCAAGAAGACATTACAATCCTTAACATATATGCACCAAATTCATAAAATCAACACTACAGGTCTTTAAGACACAGATTAACCCCAACTCAGTAACTGTAGGGGACTTCAATACCCCACTGTCTCCATGAAACAGGTCAACTGGACAAAGAATAAACAGAGAGACGTCTGAATTAAATGGTATCATAAATCAAATGGACCTAACAGACATCTTTCGAATACTCCACCCAAGCACCAAAGAATACACTTTCTACTCAGCACCCCATAGAACTTTTTCAAAAACTGACTACATACTGGGTCACAAAAGAAACCTCAACAAATATAAAAAAAATTAAATAATCCATGTATTCTATCAGATCACAATGCAGTAAAGTTTAAAATCAACACTGGAAGACGCCCTAGTCACTACAGGAACTCATGGGGATGAAACTATACCTCCTACACAATGAGTGGGTCAATGGAGAAATTAAGAAAGACATAAAAGATTTCCTGGAATTCAACGAAAAGGACAATACAACACAACACAACACAACCTCTAGGACACTTTAAAAGTGGTCAAAGAGGGAAGTTTACAGCACTTAAATGCCTAACAGTAAAAAATTATAAAGAGCCCAAATAAATGACCTAACACTGCAACTCAAGGCACTGGAAAGGCAAGAAAAAATGAAATCCAAACCCAGAAGAAGAGAAGAAATAACAAAAATCAAAGACGAAATTAATGAAATTAAAAATAAAGAAAACAATAGGAAGAATCAATGAATCTAAGAGCTGGTTCTTTGAAAAGCTAAACAAGATAGACAGACCCTAAGACTAGTTAACCAAAAGAAAGAGCAAATCCAAATCAACAAAATCAGAGATGAAAGGGGAAACATTACAACAGGCACCCCAAAAATCCAGACCATCATAAAGGAATATTTTAAAAACCTATACTCTACTGAATTTGAAAATCTAAAAGAAATGGATGGATATCTAAAATCATGGGAACCACCAAAGTTATACCAAGAAGAGACCAACAGTTTAAAGAGACCCATAACATATAAGGAAATGAAAACAGTAATATATATCCTCCCAACTAAAAAGTGGCCAGGCCCAGATGGATTTACAGCAGAATTCTCCAGACATTTAAGGAAGACCTTAACCAATACTATTTAAATTATTCAAAATGATAGAAACAGAGGGAGAACTCCCAAATTCCTTCTATGAAGCCAGCATCACTCTAATACCCAAACTAGGTAAAGACACAACCAAAATAGAAAACTATAGACCCATATCCTTAATGAACATAATTGCAAAAATTCTTAACAAAATACTAGCAAACCACATACAGACACACATCAAAAAGATCATTCGCCACGATCAAGTAGGCTTTATCCCAGAGATGCAGGCCTGGTTCAATATAGGCAAGTAATAAACATCATTAATCATATAAATGGACTCAAACACAAAAACCATATTGTCATCTCAATAGATGCAGAAAAGGCTTGACAAAATTCAGCATGTTTATGTTCAAAGTCCTAGAGGGAACTGGACCAGGGGGGAAACATACCTCAACATAATTAAAGCTATATACAACAAACCCACAGCCAACATCATTCTAAATGGAGAAAAACTGGAAACATTCCCATTAAAATCAGGAACCAGACAAGGATGTCCACTATCTCTACTTGTTTTCAATACAGTGCTTGAAACTCTTGCTAGAGCAGTAAGACAGAAGGAAATTAAAGGAGTACTAATTGGAAAAGAATAGGTCAAACTATCCCTTTTTGCTGATGATATGACATTATACCTAAGAGATCCCAAACATTCCACCAGAAAACTACTAGAACTGATCAACACTTTCAGTATAGTGGCAGGTTATAAAATCAATCTACGAAAATCAGTAGCCTTTCTATATACTAATAACAAGCAATTGGAGAAATACAGGGAAATGCTCCCATTCACAATTGCCGCAAAAAAAAAAAAAAATCTTGGAATAAATCTGACCAAAGACACCAAAGGTCTCTACAATGAAATTTTTAAATTGTTAAAGAAAGAGATTGAAGAAGAGATGGAACAACCTCCCATGTTGATGGAGTAAAAGAATTAATATTGTGAAAATGACCAACCTACCAAAAGGAGTATACAGATTCAATGCAATCCCAATCAAAATCCCTATGACATACTTCACAGAATTAGAAAAATCCATCCTTAAATTCGTATGGAAGCACAAAAGACCCCGGACAGCCAAAGCACCCCTGAGCACAAAGAGCAACACTGGCGGGATTATTGTACCAGATCTCAAAGTATACTACAGAGCTATAGTCATAAAAACAGCATGGTACTGGCACAAAAATAGACACATAGATCAATGAAACATCTCTGAAGACCCAAACCTAACTGCACACAATTTCATCCACCTGATATTTCACAAAGGTGCCAAGAACATACATGGAGGAAAGTCAACATCTTCAACAAATGGTGCTGGCAAATCTGGATCCCCATCTGTAGAAGAATGAACCTAGATCCTTATCTTTCACCTTACACAAAAGTAAAGTGCAAATGGATCAAAGACCTCAATGTAAAATTGGAAACCCTGAAACTATTAGAAGAAAATATTGGGAGTAACTTACAACATATAGGTGTAGGAAAGGATTTTCTATATCAGGCAAAAGTTCCTCAGGAATTACAGTCAGCGATTAACAAGTAGAACTTTATTAAAGTAAAAAGCTGCTGTACAGCAAAAGAAACAATCAATATGTGAAGGGAAAACCCAGAGAATGGGAAAAAATCTTCACCAGTGACGCATCTGACAGAGGTTTAACATCCAGAATATATAAAGAACTCAAAAAAAAAACAAACCAAACCACCCAATTAAAAGATGGGCTAAAGATCTAAACAAAAGATGGCTAAGAAACATCTCAAAAAGTGTTCAACATCATTAGTAATTAGGGAAATGCAAATTACAACCACCCTAAGGTATCACCATACCCCAATCAGACCTGCTAGGATCAAGAGAACAAATGATACCAAATGCTGGCGAGGATGTGGAAAAAGGGGAACTCTCATTCACTGCTGATGGGATTGCAAACTCGTGCAACCTCTATGGAAAACAGTGTGAAGAACTCTTAGAAAACTAAAAATGAACCTACCATATGACCCAGTTATACCACTCCTTGGCATATACACAAAGAACTCGTCTTATTGCAGAGACACTTGTACATCCATGTTTGTTGCTGCTCTTTTCACAATAGCTAAGAGATGGAAGCAACCTAAGTGCCCCTCAACTGATAAGTGGTTAACAAAAATGGGGTACATTATGCAATGGAGTCCTATTCAGCAGTAAAGAAAGATGAAATAATGAAATTTGCAGGTAAATGGATGGCTCTAGAAACTGTTATACTAAGTGAAGTAACACAGACTCAGAAAAACAAAAGATGTATGTTCTCCCTCATATGTGGCTCCGAGCACCAACTCCTTTTAACTTCCATGTTCTTTTAATAAGATGATGCTGTACAGCAGTCTCTTCTGTGAAATAACTACCATCACCACGACTTCAGCTGTGCCTGATTGCTAAACATCGTCACAATTGGACTTGTTGACAGTTGTGCTCATTCATTAAAGGAGAGGCAAGCAGAGTCATTGGACCCTCACCAGAGTCTCACCCACTCTTCCCAGACAACTGTATGTAATTTGACCCTATTCATACATAGTCTCCTGGATTTGAGGATGACTACAGTATATAGTCTGGGGAAGGCTAGGAAGAGAAAGCTTGACCCATTCTGGGTAAAGGCTTTCCAGTGTGCACACTCTCAGATCATTCATACTCCTCAGCAACTCCTCAGTTATCTCAGTAAGTAAGCTCAGTAAATTCATTGGTTCCCCAGTAAAACTTTAATCAAACGTTGGCTTGACACTAGAACCATAAAAGGGAATAAGCATTGCTTAGTATCCCCAGGAAAAGAAGTCTCACAACAGACAAAAAATTTGTTTGCTAATGTTATTGTGTCTCATGGTTATTAAAAAAGAAAAATGGAAAATTGGAGGATGTTGGAAGGATATGAGAATGGAGATATTTTTAAAGAAGGATTTATGTATGAAGATTATGATGGCTGGATATTTCCAGAATTGACAGAGAAATGAGAAAGCTGGGCAGGTGATGAAGGTCTGTGTAGGGTTGTTACAATATAACAAGGATGTGACAAGGATAATGTTATTTTCCAAAATAGAAAAAGTGGGACAGACTAACCAAGTGCAGAAGGTCTGTGTAGGTTTGTTATGGTATATAAAGAATGAGACAAAAATAATATATACATAATTTTAAAATTTCTATGAGCATAGTTTAGTCAACTAGTTTAAGGAACAAAATATATATCTACTCAAGGTTTATCTGAAAACATCTGGTTTTTTTACCCAAGCTTTATCTACATAGCACATGGTAATTAAAAGTACCAGACTGGTGGAACTAACCTTCTTGGATGTTTAACAGCCATACTTTGAGGCCTATACTAATCTGGTCAGAGAGACTTAAAAGACAGTTTTTGTCCCTTGCCCTCCAAGATCGACTAAGTTCCAGGGGACTATGGAACCTCTCTCAAAATGTCCTGTAACTGTGGTGAATCACCTGTCCTCTTGTTCAGGGAGGACATGGAGACCCCACCAGATGGACTTGAACCAGTGTCCGGTCTACAAAAACGAGGGTCAGCCCAGGGGAAACATTTCCTCCATGCTTCCAAGTGAAGCCAGCCATGGTTGAGCACGACCTTGTACTTACTGTCACATAGATGGAACTAGTAAAAGAAAGGAACGAGGGGCTCCTCCCAAGCCCATGGGGATCTAAGGAACAGATCCCCAAATGATCTTAAGTGTAAAAATAAACTGATTTATTTGGGCCAACTGTATGGTCTTAAACACCCAAAAGGAAAGTATAATCAAAGAGTACATCAGTATATTTCTTTAAGATTTCAAGGGATTATACTTCCCAGACATTAGGCCTAAGTTCATATAAAAAG